TAGTTTTTACTTTATAAGTCAAACACATTATTTAATAGTATTTTACATAATTTTTAAAACATATATTTATTGATATGAGGTAGTCATTAGCGAAGAATTTTTCATTTTTTTACCCTTTAAAAATAGAGTTGGCACTAGATAAAATAGTCATTTAATTATTTTTCTAATATTTATGAATAATCATTTAATTATTTTCCAAATATTTGGTATTTCAAAATACAAAAGAGGCATCAGAGGATTTCTGTGTGGTAAAATTTATTCTTCTATTGATCTAGCTAAATAGGATCAATATTCATCATTCTCAACAACTTATATTTTTTCTTTAATTAGTATTCTATAACTCAAATATATTATTTAATAATATTTATGTAATTTTTTTAAAATTGTGTATCCATTGAGATGAGGTTCACGCGCAAAGCGCGTACCCTAAAACTAGTAAAATAAATATGGTATGGGACAACTTAGTTAATTCATGGAGTTGGTTAATTTTACAAATCTACGTACCATAAACTATAGTTTGCATTTCAAATTATATATAATTATACGTTTTATAATGTTGTTTTCGAAGGAACTTTAGTGAAGTTGTCCACATCTTAAGTAATACTGCCATAATTTGCATATATTTTTTAATGTTGATGCATTGGTGAACTTGTTTGAGTATAAGTAAATCATGTTCTCTTTTTTTAATTGTCTTAAAAACTGGTAAAAGAGTAATTATGAACTACAAAATAAATACTTAAATAAAGGTACTGAAATTTTAGTTTATCATTTTTTGATTGTGATTGGAATTTCTTCCTTTCTCTCCCTCCCTTTTTCTTCATTGAACATTCTTTTGACACAATTAGGGATCCGTTTGGTTGGGAATTAAATTATCTCAAGATTAATTATTTCGGGATTAGTTATTCCCGAATTGTATTGCGTATTTTAACAATGGAGGTTGAAATTGGAAGTGAATCTAAGAGATTAGGAAGAAGAATAATCTCTGAACAATACACTTCAATGCTTGTAGATAATTGAGACTAAGAAGAAGAGAGAGAAGTTTATTGATTCAACATAACCAGCCTTTTACGAGCTATATATATTTATAGCTCATCTCTACTGTTGAGCTTCACTAACAGATTCTAACAGACTAACCACCACTGACCTCCCTAACCGTATAACTGCTTTAGTGTGAAATGTCTATACTACCCCTTCTAACTATTTAGCATAAAACAACTACCCCCATTAAGAGTCCTTGTCATCAAGGACAAAGTGAGGAAACTCATGTTTGAAAGTAGTAGCATCCATCCAAGTGCTATCCTCAGAAGGGCAGTTGAACCACTTCACCAAATATTGTTAACACCATCTGTTATGCTTGGTAACCAATCTGGTTTCAAGTATCCTTTTAGGATCCAAAATAATGTGACCATGAGAAGAAAGTGAAACTGGTAAATCAGATACCACTGGATGGGAACCAACATATTTTTTAAGCTGAGAAACGTGGATTGTGAATGTATTTTAGCACGAGGTGGGAGTTGGAGCTAGTATGCAACAGAGCCAATCTTCTTGAGCACTTGAAAATGACCAAAATATTTGGGGTTGAGCTTGTGGGAGGAGTAACCTTTTAGGGACATTTGCCTGTAAGGTTGCAGCTATAACACCCCAGACTATAGACAGAGTCCCATATCGGCAAAACACAAGAGGGATGCTGGGTATATAAGTTAACAAGCCCTAGGCCCTAGTNCCGGCTTCCCTCTTTCTAAATCCCGGACCAATTTCCTTCGAATCTGCCCAGAACTTCTCGAATCTTGATTTGAAGAGAAGAACCCTAAAATCCCAAAGTCCAAATCAACGGGTGTGCTAAAGATTTTAGACTGTAATGGACTTTATTCGCGTTTTTTCACATGAAAACACACGATTAAGGGCTATTCCGGTCATGAATTTGAAAATTCCTTCAAAGTTTGTCGAATCGGCTCCTGACTGGTGTCAGGTATCTTCTTTGTTCGTTTTGTTTATTTGTTTATCTTTTCTTTTGTGTTTCTGCTTCATCTCCTCTTCTGGGTTTTGTTTAGTTGTTCCGGAGATTCGTTATTCATGCATGATTAGTTCGGGATCCTTTCTTAATTAGTTAATCGTTTAGCAGTTCAGTTAATTCCCTCTATTTGTGTCAGTTAGTAGTAATTTAGTTTAGGGTCTTAGTTTTAAAAATTGTTCCAGTACTTGGATAGTTCTGTCTCCCAGAAGCTCATAGAATTTAGGGTTGTTAATGTACGAATTGGGCTTTAGTCTGTTGTTGACCCATCTCGCAAATGTAGCCCGTTTAATTTGGTCTATATCCTTGGGTCAATTCGACTCGTTTGGATTTCTGAAGTAATTTTCAAAGGGTTAAGGGGTAAATTAGGTAATTGGTTTAGGGAATCTAGGGTGTAACTGTTTGGGAAGCTTCTGGGAAGCTGGGGAGGGGACTACTTTGCAAAAGCAGAATTTAAACTAGGGGTGTTTAAGCTAAAAGGAAAATTAAAAAGGGACCAAAGGGCAAAAATGAACTCTTAAGGCTGCCTTGTTTTTTTGCCTATAAAGGCATCATTTTCTTGCCTTTCAAGGCAGATCCAAGAGACTTGAAAGAGAATAAAAATTCTAGAAAACAAAAACAGCTGAAACTTCTGCAGAAAATACTGTTTCATTGGGTTTTAGCTTTGTGATCTGAAATTCTCTTCTTCTTGAATCGATTTTCCTAATTGTTTGAGCTTAGAAATGGTTTGAAACTTAGTCATTAAGGTTGGTTCTGAGGTCAGCTGGTTTAATTGTGTGTTTGAGACTGGTTTCTGGGCTGCAGTACTTCATTTCTGGGTTTTTGAACATGTTTTGTTGGTCTGTTTCTGTTACTAGAACCTGCTGCTGATTCCCTATTGTCTACTGCTGATTCTCCCTTTTTCTTATTTCGTTTAATTCCAGGTATTCCCTGATTCTATAGGAGATGAAATGCAAGTATGAGAGCTATAATTATATGAAGATCCCTATGAATGAATACTGTTTTTCTTTTTAATCATCAATATTAGTTGTTTACTTGAAATTTCTGGAGTTTAGTGGTATATTGTAATGGCATTTAGCCTGATATGTCCATTTTAATATAACAGTAGTATGTTATTCCTTAGAAACCTCATGTTGCCTTTCATTTGTGATGAAAACACATGGTCTGATGGTTTGATTATATGTAAGTAGTTCAAGACATTTGGATCTTGTATATAGGGACTGTGATTTAAGCCATTCACTGTTTGTTATGCATATATTCAAGCATATGGTTAGACTTTGTTGAGTTTTAGCTTATCATTTAGTTTTGTCTGAAATCAGAATGCATTCGATTAAAAGGGGTGACTGCCTGCTTTGCGGAAATAAAACTTTATGAGTACTAGTCTGATTGGCATCAGGCTCTGGGTACTCAAGGTAATTGGGTGCATGCATTGGGTTGAGAATGAATTCTTGACTTGTTTAGATATGTAAAAACTTTCTATAGTAGGATAAGGTCAAAATGCAGTACTCATAGTGATACAAGTTTAAAACTAGATCAAACATGCTGTCCATGATGAGAATTCCATTGTCATTGCTTGCTGAGAAAAACGAACCCAGAGGTTGTTTGTACACATATTGTTTTTTTTTTGTTGAATATCGCTGGTTCTTGGCCTGCAGGACTCGATACTGAGTTCTCCACTCAGACCTGTTGAGGTTTCGAAATTGGGCTCATTTCTGGGCCCAAGCTTAACAGGTTCTTTCGAGTATGATTTGGGTCGTAATTGCGGCCCAGTCACGCCCACACCTTTCGCTAGCCTTCCTGGCTCTGGACTTCACATGGAAGGCCTATTTGTGGCCTTTGATTGCTAATTAAACGATCGTAGGGAATTTTAACTTCATTGAGTGTTAAATAATTCAGCCTTTAAAATAATTGAGGTGAACGATGTTAATGACACCAATAGTCTATGGCCCTCATAAAAAAAATAAGAATTTTAGGCAATTAGATTTGAGGCGTGCCATTTAGCGAATTTCCCATGGCCCTCGTAAAATTAAAAATGCGTAGTCGCTTTAGGGTGCGTTATTTAATAATTTTACTTTCTTAAACTCGGATGTGCATTTCATGTGACCCAAATCAAATCTTAAAACGTTGAATGAAATATGTTTAGGATTGCGGGTGCATTTCATGTGGCGCGATCCAAAGACGTGTTTTAAACGACGTTCAATCTTTTTTTTTAAAATAATTAAAAGCGGTTAAAAGTTAAAATTATACCATAGGCTAAAACATATACTAAAATCAGATAATAGACCAATTATCACAGTTGAGAGATCGTGCTAGAACCACGGAACTCGGGAATGCCTAACACCTTCTTCCGGGTTAACAAAATTCCTTACTCGGATTTCTGGTTTGCGGACTGTTAAACAGAGTCAACCTTTTCCTCGATTCGGGATTTGAACCGGTGACTTGGGACACCATAAATCTCTCAAGTGGAGACTCTGAATTTTTTGATAAATAAATCCCGTGTCGATTGTCCTTTAATTGGAAAAACTCCCTTTATACACCCCTCCCGGGGGTGTAGGTGAAAAAGGAGGTGTGAAACTAGTGACGCATTTTAAATGTGTGAGGGCCTAGGCCCACAACGGACAATATCACTGGCGGGCTGAGCTGTTACAGATGGTATCAGAGCCACTTTTGTGTTAGCTTTGCCGATGGTGGGTCAGATCAGAGTTCAACTGAATTTAGGCAAATCCCGGTTAGGCGGGGCAAACCTCAGTGCTGAGTCTAGGATAATCCCATGCGGTGGGGCAAACCTCAGCGGCAAAACACAAGAGGGATGCTGGGTATATAAGTTAACAAGCCTTAGACCCTAGTGACGCGTTTTAAATCCGTGAGAGCCTAGACTCAGAGCGGACAATATCACTAGCGGGCTGGGATATTACAGCAGCCTTACAAAAACCATGTCTCCCACTGCAAATTCCCTGAATGATCTCTTCTTATCTGCCAAAGCCTTCATTCAAGATTGAGCTAGTGCTAGGTGGTGCTTTAGTAGCCTGATTGTTGCTTCTCTAGCTTGTAAGCTTCTATCAACTTCCTCCACCATAGAATTATATGGAATATAAGGCATGTGTAGGGGAGGTTTTTGACCATAGAGTACCTCAAAAGGAGTCAACTTAGTGGCAGAGTGATATGTGATGTTATACCACCATTCTGCTAAAGGCAGCCAATGAGCCCAATCCTTGAGCCTATCTATGCACATACATCTAAGGTAACCCTCCAAACACTTGTTGACAACTTCAGTTTGGCCATCTGACTGTGGGTGATAGATTGTGGAATGATGTAATTGGACCCCTTGGACATAAAAAAGAGACTGCCAAAACTTGCTCAAGAACACAACATCTCTGTCACTCACTGTGGTCTGGGGCAGGCCATGAAGTTTGTTAATGTGATCTAGAAAAGCTTGGCAACTGAGGTTGCAGTATAGGGATGCTTCAGGCTTATGAAGTGAGCATATTTGCTCAGACTATCTACTACTACCATTATCACAGATTTACTATGTGATTATGGTAGTTCTTCAATGAAATCAATGCTAATATCCTGCCATACCTTATCTGGAATAGGCAAAGACTGCAGTAGTCCTGGGCTCTTCACACTCCCCCCTTACACCTTTGACATACTTCGCAGCTCTTGATATATTCAAAAATGTCTGCTTTCATCTTTCTCTAGTAATATAACTGGCTTACCCTTTGCAGTGTAGCAATCATACCTGAGTGACCTCCTGTAGCCCCATCATATAGGAATTGTAAAATCTGCTTCCTTAGATCTTTGCAAGGGCCAACAACTATCTTCCCTTTCCTGTATAACACACTATCCTTTAGCATATATATGGGCTTAGCTAAAGGATCCTGCTGGAGCTGCTGAAGGAGCTGTTGTAGATGAGAGTCAGTTTCATAAGAACCTTTGATCTGCTCTATGAAGTCTGAGGATATAGAAGAGAGTGTCAGCAGTTCTGCATCAAACTTGTCATCAGCCTTGGGTACTCTAGATAGAGCATCAACTACTAAGTTGTCTTGATCCTTTTTGTAGGTGATTGTATAGTCATATCCCATCAATTTGGCCAGCCACTTCTGCTAACTGGGAGTAGAGATTCTCTGCTCCATTAGGTATTTCAAGCTCTGTGGTTTGTCTTGATTGTAAAATGTCTACCAATGAGGTAAGGCCTCTATTTCTGCATAGCTGCTACAATGGCCATCATTTCTCTCTCATATGTGGATAGTTGCTGATGTTTGTCACTCGGAGCCTTACTCATATATGCTAAGGGGTGGCCTCCCTACATCAAAACAACTCCAATACCCACCCCATAAGCATCAGTTTCAATAACAAATTCCAAGGAAAAATCAGGAAGTGCAAGAACTTGAGTTGTACTCATTGCTACTTTGAGTTGTTCCAAAGCTGTATTTGCCTTATCATTCCATTCAAATTTATCATTCCTTAACAATTCAATCAAGGGCCTTGCCAACACTCCATACCCTTTAATAAATCTTCTATAGTACCTTGTCAATCCCAAGAATTCCCTTAATTCTTTCACTGTTTTTGGTGCTGGCCATTCTACCATGACTTTAATATCCCTGGTTCAGTTGTTACCCCATCTTTTGTGATGATATGGCCTAAGTATTCTACCTCAGATTGACCAAATTGGCATTTACTCGTCTTAACAGACAGAGAGTTTTCCTTTAACATATCAAAAGCTTTCTGTAATTCAGACAAGGGATCCTCATACAAATTATGCCCAAATCTCAAATACAAATATCTCACATAATCTCCCCAATTAGGTAACCCCCTTCATACTCTAGATTTCATCATCGATTAATGCCACTATAAAGCCCTTCCTTCTAAATTGATAGAAGCAAGCCTAACCTTCTATTCTTCAGAGGTATTGTCATACTCAAAGAATTGTTCACATATATACACCCACCCTTTTAAATCCTCCCCATTAAATTTTGGGAATTCAATACAAGCATATCTATTACCTCCATTAAACCCGTTGCATGTTGTATGTAATCCACCACCATCGATTGGAGCTGGTGCGACTGGTGTTGTTGAAGTCGTCGGAGCTGAATTTGTCGTCATCGCTGCCACCAACTGTCGAATTTCATTGATCATATCGTCATGGCGCTCACCCAGTACCCGGACCTGCTCCCTAACTTCGTCCACATCTCGTCGTAATTCAGTGTTTCTGGTTGTTTCCGACATGGTTTATGGCCAAGGTTCACAAGCTCTGATACTAATGTTGCGTATTTTAACGATGGAGGTTGAAATTGGAAGTGAATCTAAGAGATTAGGAAGAAGAATAATCTTTGAACAATACACTTCAATGCTTGTAGATAATTGAGACTAAGAAGAAGAGAGAGAAGTTTATTGATTCAACATAACCAGCCTTTTACAATCTATATGTATTTATAGCACATTTTCTACTGTTGACCTTCACTAACAGATTTTAACAGACTAACCACCACTGACCTCCCTAACCGTATAACTGCTTTAGTGTAAAATGTCTATACTACCCCCTCTAACTATTTAGCATATAATAAATTGTTATTCCACTCTCCCATAGGAATAAAATAACACTACAATTCCGAGATAACTAATTTGGAAATTAATTATATCATGATTTTATTCCCACCAAACATAAAATAAATTTATCTTAAATTTAATTTCAAAATTATTTATCCTTATCTCCCGTATCAAACGAGGCCTTAGTGAATTGCAGTACAATATCCAAACTGAACAGAACTAGAAAGTTAAAAGCTCGTACTCTGCAATTCGAACGGTAACTTGTCGCAAAATGGTTGTCTTATGTTATGGAAATTTTTGAAGGGCAGTTTTGTCATTATAATACATATTATATCAGTTGGAAATGAGCTTTCGGTTGGTGGCATTACAGTAATTAAATGCAATATGGTGTCGCTTCATTTATAAAGTATCAGATCGAAATAGACATAGTAACAGAGCGAGACCCACTGCAAGCTGTTTCTTCCTCTGCTTAACAGCTAGCTTCTCTTATATACCTTCAAGAAAAGCTCACTTACTCCGCCGACAACTTCACAGAAATGGCAATGGCTCAATGGTTCCTTCTTCTCTGCATTTTCTTCATCTCTGCTTCTGCTTCAAATGTTCAAAGTAAAGATTCCTCTTTTTCGTTCATCTCTGAATAAATATTGCTAATTTGTGTTCCGTTCATTGTATAGGTAGAGGGAATATTTGTTTGTGATCTGACATTTCAAGTGGGTTTTCTTATTGTTACTTGAATTATAGTTTCATTTATTATCTGCTGAGTAGATTTGTGTTGAGTGGACTGTTTTACTGAAGGTTTTTTATAAGAATCTTGCGGTGTTTGTTTCTACTCTTTGTTTATTCAATGAGCTAATGGTAAATGTGTTCCACTGTTTAATTCTTGTGCCCATCTTAGTCTTGGATCTACTTAAGGATTGAGTTACAAGATAGCACAGTGTCCTTTTCTAAAGATCCTTTAGTGGAGTATTTTTGTAAGACTATATTTGGAATTATCAACAACTTGTTCTGGGTGTATGTTTTTGCTTAATAAACTATAATGTGCTGAGTGATTTCAGCATTGATGATTATAAGTTCATGCAAACAAGATAGGAGTAATTCCTTATCCCGAAAAAAAAGGATAGTAGTTATATATAAAGTGCATAGTTTCTGAGGTAGATCTACTTTTGGAGACTTTGTTAAATTATATCATCTGGTTGCTCAATATTGACCATTTCCCACGTATATTGGTAATGGTATGTTGTAACCAGGGGCGGAGCTAGCCCATCGACTACAGGTTCGGCTGAACCCAGTCGCTTTGGTCCAGACCATGTATTTGCCTTAAGAAATTCATTGAATATGTAAAAAATTATTAATTTAGAATTCAGTAACTTATAAGAACTAGAACCCCGAAGCCATAAGCTCTAAATCCTGGCGTCGCCTCTGGTTGCAACCCCAAAAAACATAAGTAGTAGTGTGCAAAATTGTGCTTTGGGATAGGTTATTTGTACTATTAGGAAATTGCCAGAGGTATATCTTAATAATAGAACCTTGGATTCTCTGTGATTGTTGCCTTATTAACCTAGCCAAAGGTATTGGAAATTTAGAACAAAGGATGTTGAATATGTGTCGTAGACAAGAAACTATCTAGTTCAACTGCAAAATATAGGTTACAAGTCTTCTTGCTGGTTCAGTAAGGTCATCCTTGATTTTGAGTAAAATGTTTAGAGTAGTGAAGGTGTTGGTTTATGTTTAGTCAACAATGGCATGCCAATTGGAAGAGTTGGTGGAAAGAGTTGGTGTGGATGCTAGGAGGAAGCTTCCTCCTTTGATGAGGTAGTTTGATGCACCAATGACATCAAGAGGAGGTCTTTACCTCTATAAATAGATGCACTCTTCATTTGTAGAAACCATCCCAAAAATAATACAACACATTGTAGTGAGTAGAGA